AAACACCACAGAGCTCCTGCAGATAACTGAAGGATAATACATGAGAAATGGGGGGATTAACAGGCGGGGACAGGCAGCAGGAGATACACTCACTAATAATGAAAGGAGGTTGTGAAAGAGTGAGATTGCAGGGAGCCACAGGAGAAAGGAGTGAGTAGGAGTGAGAGTCATGGCAGACGGACAAATTGAGACAGTGGTTAGATGCGTTATTAATCCCTTGAGACACACTGAGGAGGGGGTCAGAGGTCAATAAGGATGGACTGCAGAGTCAGAGCATTTTTACTATTTTATCTTCTAATTCCAGCATTTGGTGTGTGAAGAAGCTGTAAATATGCTAAGCTAACGTCTGAAGTACTCAACGCTCTGAAAGGCTCTCAATGTGCTTTGTCTCCTCTTTGCCGTTTCCACATGTGTTTGAAAAATGACTCAATACTGGATCTGAATGAATATGCCAGTGAAATAAAGGGGCCTGTGTGTTGTCCCTGCAGGCTGGCAGGGTGATGCAGTGCTGGTACTTCTGGCTGGGTCTGATCCTGGTGCCGGCTGCGTGTTTACTCAAAGACTTCGCCTGGATCGCGTAAGTAGAACACATTTAATATAAATACGTGGGAAATCCATACTGAGGCTATTTAGCTGAAGCGAGGCGTTTACATTACCCATATTGAGTCTGTGTCAACACTCATCTGCACTTTATGTTATGAGTCACACGTGTCGGAAAAGTAACACTCAAAGTTCCCTGCATGATGTCTGACGGGCTTCTTCCTGCTCTCAGCACCCGGCGCACGGTGAGGAAGTCTCTGCTGGAGGAGGTGCAGGAGCTGGAGGCCCGGGCTGTGGACCCGGGGGCCGCCGTGCTGAGGGACGCCAGCGGGCGCAGGTATGCACAGTGCTGAAGAGCATCATGGGATCACACCTACATCATATTTTTTATGATTTATTTCAAGGTGTTTTAATCCAAGTGTTAGCCATTATGTTTTTATATTAGCACTGAGGCCACTATGTTGGGTACGACTGTAACATTTGATGCAACTCAATACAGCAGCACAGTATGACATGTTATCTTTACAAAGATTTAATAACGTTTTGATTGACTCTGTCAGAGAGGTGTTAATTTAAAGAGGCCCTATTGTGCTTTTGGGGGTTTCCCTTTCCTTATATAGGTTTTAGTGCATGTAAATGGTCTGCAAGGGCTCAAATCCCGGTGTTCCCTCCAGATGAAGTTTCTTTATTATGCTATTGTACGTGATAGGCTAAGGGGCGGGACATCTCTAAGCGGTTGACCAATCACAACAGAGCAGACCAGAGCTTTTTGGACATTAAAGCATGGACACATGTCACAGTAGAGAAACAACATACTGATATACACCTGAACATCAGCAGGAGAGGACTCTTTAAAGTAGAGACACTACATACTGATATACACCTGAACATCAGCAGGAGAGGACTCTTTAAAGTAGAGGGCACTACATGCTGATATACACTGAACATCAGCAGGAGAGACTCTTTAAAGTAGAGGCACTACATACTGATATACACCTGAACATCAGCAGGAGAGGACTCTTTAAAGTAGAGACACTACATACTGATATACACCTGAACATCAGCAGAAGAGGACTCTTTAAAGTAGAGGCACTACATACTGATATACACCTGAACATCAGCAGGAGAGGACTCTTTAAAGTAGAGACACTACATACTGATATTCACCTGAACATCAGCAGGAGAGGACTCTTTAAAGTAGAGACACTACATACTGATACTACACCTGAACATCAGCAGGAGAGGACTCTTTAAAGTAGAGACACTACATACTGATATACCACCTGAATATCAGCAGGAGAGGACTCTTTAAAGTAGAGGCACTACATACTGATATACACCTGAACATCAGCAGGAGAGGACTCTTTAAAGTAGAGACACTACATACTGATATACACCTGAACATCAGCAGGAGAGGACTCTTTAAAGTAGAGACACTACATACTGATATACACCTGAACATCAGCAGGAGAGGACTCTTTAAGTAGAGACACTACATACTGATATTCACCTGAACATCAGCAGGAGAGGACTCTTTAAAGTAGAGACACTACATACTGATATACACCTGAACATCAGCAGGAGAGGACTCTTTAAAGTAGAGACACTACATACTGATATAAACCTGAACATCAGCAGGAGAGGACTCTTTAAAGTAGAGGACACTACATACTGATATACACCCTGAACATCAGCAGGAGAGGACTCTTTAAAGTAGAGACACTACATACTGATATACACCTGAACATCAGCAGGAGAGGACTCTTTAAAGTAGAGACACTACATACTGATATTCACCTGAACATCAGCAGGAGAGGACTCTTTAAAGTAGAGACACTACATACTGATATACACCTGAACATCAGCAGGACAGGACTCTTTAAAGTAGAGACACTACATACTGATATACACCTGAACATCAGCCAGGACAGGACTCTTTAAAGTAGAGACACTACATACTGATATACACCTGAACATCAGCAGGAGAGGACTCTTTAAAGTAGAGACACTACATACTGATATACACCTGAACATCAGCAGGACAGGACTCTTTAAAGTAGAGACACTACATACTGATATACACCTGAACATCAGCAGGAGAGGACTCTTTAAAGTAGAGACACTACATACTGATATACACCTGAACATCAGCAGGAGAGGACTCTTTAAAGTAGAGACACTACATACTGATATACACCTGAACATCAGCAGGAGAGGACTCTTTAAAGTAGAGACACTACATACTGATATACACCTGAACATCAGCAGGAGAGGACTCTTTTAAAGTAGAGGCACTACATACTGATATACACCTGAACATCAGCAGGAGAGGACTCTTTAAAGTAGAGGCACTACATACTGATATACACCTGAACATCAGCAGGAGAGGACTCTTTAAAGTAGAGACCACTACATACTGATATACACCTGAACATCAGCAGGAGAGGACTCTTTAAAGTAGAGACATTACATACTGATATACACCTGAACATCAGCAGGAGAGGACTCTTTAAAGTAGAGACACTACATACTGATATACACCTGAAAAAAAGCAGAATAGGTCCTCTTTAACACATTTAATACCAAAAAAGGTCATAATAAGCCTCTTTAAGGATAACATGTGGCAGAACTGCTGTATTGTGTTGCATTAAACTCTATAGATGGACCCAATAAAGTCACCATAGCAGGTATGTTTGTGGAACTAAATGTATTTCTAACTCCCCGGTGGCGTCGTCCACAGGGCCGAAGCCAAGGCTGAGGTCCCGTAGAGCCCCAGCTGTCACATGATCACAGAGGTAGTTTTTGGGTTTACTGTGTGACCTCAAACGACTCTGGAGTGACCTTCACCTGTTTCCCCACTAAATTAGTTCACACCTCCCTCTGTTTATCTTTCATTAAATCAATCCTTCCCCTTTATCCTCCGTTTCATTTTTACATTTCATTTCTCTGCTTATTTCCATTTCTCCTCCATTCCTTCATCTGTGGATCACAGGTGGCTCAATGTGAGCTGCTGTACAGACCTGGTGTGTTTCTGGATGTGTTTGTGTTTCTCCGTGTGATGTCGTCGTGTTGTGTCACTAGAGTTAGACGACAGTCTCCTAAAAAATACACTTTTGATTAAAAGTTACATACGTTTTTTTAAATGAAAAAAGTAAGTCTTTTTGCACTGTGATACGAATACTTGTATTAAATGAAGCGTCTGAGTACTTTCTCCACCACAGTTTGCCAAAAAGGATCATTTTTATAATATTCTGCTAATATGACTCATTATAATAAAGATGCAGCTGTTAGTGAGTCACAGAGAAAGCTTCTCTCTCAGTTAGCATGAGGTGTGTTTTCAAGGTAGCCAAACTGCTGCCCCACACAAGGCCCCGTCCCCGACTAACCCTGCTTGTAAAACCCAGAAAAAAAAGGAAATGGGTCGTCTCCAAAGCAATGGAGCAGAAAGGGGGAAAAAGCACATCTGTGTTTGTAGTTGGTAGGCATGGGAAAGGTAGGGAGAGCGTCTCGAGGGGAGAGTACATCCCTGGGCTTTTTTATATCACAAAGGAACATTAAAGAACTGAAGCATGAGCCTTTCCTCTGCTCGTCCTGCACCATTTATTATTTTATCATACACTCAGCACTGTCATCTATCTAGCAGACATTTAAAACTTCTATAGGAAACTTCAGAGCCGCTCTGCTGGTTTTTTTATTTAGAGATTGTTCGTCACATACAGTATGAGGAGTTTCCAAATCCTAACCTTGGGAAGGCTGGCTGAGGTCCATCACGACTCCGTTGATCATCTCAAGAGCCAGCGTGGTGTTAGTATAATGCTCCCAGGGCTGATGAGTGTAGAAAACGTATTATTTCAAGGGACGTGGCTACTGCTCATACTGTCCACACATTAACATCCAACGCCTCTGCTTAATAACTTTAATAGCTGTGTGTGTGTGTGTGTGTGTGTGTGTGTGTGTGTGTGTGTGTGTGTGTGTGTGTGTGTGTGTGTGTGTGTGTGTGTGTGTGTGTGTGTGTGTGTGTGTGTGTGTGTGTGTGTGTGTGTGTGTGTGTGTGTGTGTGTGTGTGTGTGTGTGTGTGTGTGTGTGTGTGGTGTGTGTGTGTGTTGTGTGTGTGTGTGTTGTGTGTGTGTGTGTGTGTGTGTGTGTGTGTGTGTGTGTGTGTGTGTGTGTGTGTGTGTGTGTGTGTGTGTGTGTGTGTGTGTGTGTGTGTGTGTGTGTGTGTGTGTGTGTGTGTGTGTTGCAATATCTGGAAAGGGCTTAGTTATTTTTGGTCACAGGAGGAGAGGAGCCGTGACGGCGTGTGGTCTCCGAACACAGGATCCAGTCTTCTGCTCGGAAAGGGGGAGAAGGAGAGGAGAGGAGAAGGAGAGGAGTAGGAGAGGAGAAGGAGAGGAGTTGGGGGGCGGGGGAATAGTTTACTGTGGATGTCCTGTTAGCCTGCAGCCACTTTATGACTTTCCGTGGGTTAAATTGCATAGTCAGGAGCCGTCGGTATCCAATCCCAACGTTCTGGATTTGAATCCCCTCATATTCGGTTTGCTCATGATCTGAGAAGGAGAAATGCACTTGAGCTTACATCCTTAAGTGTCTTGCTGAAGGACAGTTTGAGGGTGAGAGATTGTCTCTGGGAAATTAAGACATTAGTTTGATTTAAATGTCTTTTTAAAAAGCAGCAAAAATGTTTCACCAAGACATCGATATGACCATTCCCCTGTAGCTTGTAATGGTGTTGTGCGGTAGTGTCAATAGTGATGATGGTCTCTCTTTGATGGCTGATGATTTAGTATTGATGTTACTGATCTGTCTTCCCTTTCTCTTCAGTCTAAACGAACGAGCCCATCTGCTGACAAGAGTCTTTAGAAAAGCGCCTTCAACCGTGGGACGCTCCAACTCGGTGCAGCAGACTGTGTCACGTGAGTGTCCTCTCACACATACTGTAATAATACCATAAAACAGTTGGGTTTCTCTATTGACCCGTTTGTGCATGAAATAAAGTCTTAAAGTAGGGATGGAGAAGAAGAGAAGAAAACAGTGTGTAGAGTCAGTGTGTTAGCTTCTGAACTTATTCAGGGTGTCATTTGAGAAGCTGGTAAACTATGCAGAGAGGAAGAGAGAAAGGCGTGTCTGTCTTGTGTCGCCAAGAAACAAGAAATTGTCAAAAGAATTCCCAGTTTTTGGAAAGAAACACACAAAGTTATGCAAACCAACAATACACACATATTTGGTGTAGGTTCTTTTAACATCTGTTTGTTAGTGGCATAGAAATACAGCAAAACAGACAAGACGAAACATCGGACTAACACGATATCTGAAATGCACCACAGTTAATCCCATAGGTTAAAAGGTGATACTTCTATTCGTAAATCACACATGCCACAGGTTCTGTGAAAGAGTCCCTCTCTGTATGACATCTGATTTGATCTCGATGTAAACATTTCCTAATTCCTTTTGGCCGCATATCAACCGTTGGGAACTTTCCAGATGTTCAGGATCGTAGCAGCAGTTTTGTTGCTTTATTTTTCAAATGACAAATACAACAGAAACAGATCAAAGACTAAACGGGGGACCACACTACTCCCAGCGATGTTCACAGATCTCTGCTTCGGTTCTTAGACAGTAGGTCAGTATTTCCATAGTATATACGTACAGCCACTGACCCAGTCCAGGAGGGTCATTTTAAAAACAATCTTTCTTTTCAATTATACTATCTGGAATCAAGCCCGAGTGCATAACCCCGGGGTCACAGGGCATCTCAGTAACCCTGACCCAAAATGTATGTACTTTTACACATGACCTTATGGTAATTTCTTAAGCACACAAACACCAGAAGAACTGAAGTAGAGAGCAGTTGTACTTTCCTTTAATACATCAACAAGTCATTTAAACGTCTCCCCCCCCCCCCCCCCCCCCCCCCCTTGTCTCTGTGCAGATGGATACGCCTTCTCTCAAGAGGAGCACGGTGTGGTGTCCCAGTCCGAGATGGTCCGCTCCTACGACACCACGCGCGAACGCCCCAGCCTCTAGCCCCACCCCTGACCACGTCTTCAGCTCACCGCTAGCAACGGTTACCAAGGTGACAGTGGAGACAGACTCATGTGACACCCTCCCGCGGGTGACTGACCCCCTGCTGTGGCCTTACTGGAACTGGACCCTCGCCCGGGGGAGGGGCTCACGGTCAGGCGTGGAGGCCGTAGACTCGAGAGAAGGCCGACTATACGGGAAAAAAAACACTAAGCTACACAGGCATGAGCCATCATAACCACGCACAGACATGACGAGTCAAACTCAGAGACTGCTCCTCATATCCGTATACCCTTCAGACTGGGTTTGCTCCATGCCACTGTGTGTATATCCCTACGTGTGTGTGTATCCGCCTGTGCATGTGTGTGTGTACGCGTTGGCGCTGCCGTGTTTGTGTGCATGTGTGTGTATTCGCTTCATCTCGTCTCAGGAGGTGGGTTTAGCTTGTCTGTCATCACAGGAGGGGAGGGGAAGTCAAAATAAACACACACACTGATGAATTCCTTGAAAAGAGAGGGAGGGAAGGACCAGTGCCGTGAACCCCCCCCCCCCCTCCACCCCCTTCTACTGATCGCAGCAGCGAGCCTCACTGCCAAACACCACAGAGATGCCACTGAGGCTGAACGCCACACCGGACCACCACCCTGCTGCTTATATCTCCCCCATTATCTCCATATCTCTCCCCCATTATCTCCGTATCTATCTCCCCCCCTGCTCTGCAGCCTCCACGCATCGCCTCCCCCTCGTCTTGGCCAGTTTTTAAATAAAATCTTCGTTTCCGGTTGTTGTTTTCCGACCACTCCTGTGATTCCTGATGTCAGCTGACAGGCATTAGAGCTTCCTCCTTCACTTGTGTTGGATTTCCACTTTCAACTGGATGTTTTTTTTTCTTTTTTTATCATTATTATTATTATTAAAGTGGACATTAATGTGTAATTTGTTTTCCTATTTTCATTCATGCCTGTTTTTGTACTCATAGAGGGAATATTTTACTTGAACTAATACAGAAACAGAAGGGATCTGATAGAGACTGGATCATGTGTTGCTCTGGCTCTGGGATGGGTGTGAATGTAGCGTCCAGTGTGTGAGAGTGAGTGTGTGTTTGTGTGAGAGAGAGGACACTGATTCAGGAATGCAAGTGAGAAAGAGTGAAGGGTGGGAGAAGGGGGTTGTCCATCCAAGTCCTATTCATTAAATCTAATCAATCCATGGCCTGAACCAATGTCTCTGTGTCTTCACTGTATGCTGTCATGTGATCAGGTGTGTGTGTGTGTGTTTTTATTCAGACTCTGGCTTCATAAAGTTTGCAGCTCAGACTCCTATTGTGAACTCAGAAATGTTGAGTACACCAAAGTTTTATGTTAGAAATGTATAGTAGGCCTACGGGTCCCCAGCATATAGAAACTACCGGATGCTGACCTGCAAATGTTGGGCAAAAAAATTGTCCACAGTTGAGGTTATACTTTTCATCTTGTGCTCTCAATATCCAATGGTTAAAACACTACTCATAATCCCACCGAGAGTGCAGATATAGACACTTTCTGGTTAAAATTTACATTTCTGTATCCTGAAAATGTCAGAAATGGACCCAGCATCCCCAATAACCCCCAAAACCACACCAAAATTGACCAAATCGGCCAAGCCATTTTTAACTGCATAGGCTATAATGCAATTTAAATCTAATTTGCTCAACTTTATCTGCTAATTGTGCAAATTGCCCAAAATATGCAAGTTAGCGTCAGGCAGTTTCTATGTGCTGGGGACCCCTACTATACATGTCTAACATCAAACTTTGTGGTACAATGCCGACAAGTAGACTAGCCGGTTAGAGGGAGAAAAGACTTGATTTGACATGAGATGTTTGATTTCAAGCCTGTGCACGGTCCGTCTCAAAGCTCCTGAGAGTCACCGCAGACAGAGCATTAGACGATTAATACCCCCCCGCTTTCCCACCCACCTTCCTGGACGAGGCCCAGCCCAAACTGTTACAGCTGCTCCCGTATGGAGAATCCATCGAGCCGTTTCTGCTTTTCAACTCCTCCCCTGTGACCCCTTTTTCCACATTATCCTGCAGGAGGCTCCCAGAGCTGCACCTCCTCAGGGTCGTAGCTTTAAAAGCGGCCATTGTTGTGTTTTATTGTTCTTCCTCCTCTCTGTGTGATGGTGGACAGGTATCCACTGTGGGTGGTAGAGCTGTGTGTGAATGTGCGTAATGAGTGTTTCTGATAGCTTAACCATGAAGTTGTTTGTGTTTCAAGAGGATTAAGAGTGTGAGACAGTTCTTTGTGCAAAACCCGTTCACCTCACAGATGTGTCTCTTTGTTAACCAAGTGTGTGTATGTAATCTCATGTACTCCAAACAAAGCCTTCCCTGATATATGCTTACGCGTGAAACACATTAGCGCTCAACACACTGGTTTCTGTTTAAAAGTTGTTTATTTTTTTGAATTCATATGAAAAATGACATCAAAATGGACCACTTTTCATACATCTGTCGGTAGTGAGTTACAGACTTTGTGCTCGGCCGTACAGATGAGGTACACACACACAGTTTCAGTACTTTGGGACATCTCAGGCTGAAGCTCAGTGGAGCAGCACATTCCTCAAGTTGCATGTTACTGAATGACCTGTTAGCTGCACAACAGAGAAAACAGACTTATTTTTCTTGGATTAAAAAGCCCAAAACGTGCCATTTCTGTGCTGTTTCTTAAGTGGGAAATAATGAGTCAGAGCTGCCCTTGCCCTCGGCTAACGCACTGAACTGTGGCAGTGTTAAATACACATGCACACACACACATCTGAGTAGTGAAGAGGGCCGTGTTCAATGTATAATTAACCTGCCTCTCACTTTAAGGTACATTAACTGCGAGTCTTGGCTGGATATTTAAATGTTCTATGTTTCCGCTCCGGGTTGTGAGGTTTTTGGGGTTTTATTTAGGGGGGGTTGTATGGCAGGGTGGAGCGTCACAGTCTGCGTCCTGTGTTCACTTCATTACAGTTTAAAGGGTCTGCAGGGAAAGGGACGGCGACTGCCTTTCACATTACACCACCTGCATTTCCCATTACACACAGTTCACTCACAGTTACTCACACGACCACATCCCTCCACACTTCCCACTAACTCACACATACAGTACAATCATCTCTGCACACGTTCAACACAAACAAACACACTGCACGTATGAGCCGTTCACAAGTGCAGATGGCATGAAAACAGCATGTGGTCATAACTTTTTTTTGCTTCTACTGTATATCCACTTTTCATTCATTTCGCTGCTATAAATCATCCAGTCATCACTCATTCCCACTCTCACTCTCGCACAGATTTATTTGAGTGAGCCGTGCACGGTCCCCCACCTGGGCTGTAAATCCTCCTTTATGCAGTTTTGTCTTTGCATCGAGACAGACAATTGTTTATGCATCCATCATCTTAGTCAGGAGATCACATGACACTAAACAGACACACAAAACACACAACGGAGAGGCGGGCCTGCAGCCAGCAACAGCTTCACCAGTCCTTCAGTTTTTCCACTGTAAAAGTCTCTGGCGCGGCCCCCCCCTCACATGTTCAACTTCACAACAAAGTGGTCCGCAGTCTCGTCACACAGTCACTGCAGGGTATTTCTGGTCATTGACAATACACCCCATGTTGGGAGGGGGGCAGGGGGACTGCAGGGGTCTGTACCCCCCCTGAGTGGGGTCCATGAAGGTGGCGGCCGGGTGGGCGTACCCGATGTACTGCGGGTGCAGAAACTGTCCCTTGGTGGGGCATGATCTGCGTGGCCTGCTGGCAGTTGAGCATGGAGAAGTTGGTGGGCATGTTGACGAAGACGCTGGCGTCGGGGGGGAGGCAGCAGGAGGCCTGGGCCCTCATCATCTGAGGGGGGTTCTGTCGGGGGGCGGTGGGGGGGGCGGAGGAGCTGGAGGACGTGGCTGTGCTGGACTGACGGGACGAGGAACCCCTGGAGGTCCCGGCGCTGGACATCATAGGGATGGTTTCCAGGAGGCGCCCCCCACCGCCGGACCCCCCCCCTGATGCTCCGCCTGATGAGAGCTCCTGTTTGGGGCGCAGGCAGCGGCAGCAGCACACGGCCACCACGGAGCCCACCAGGATGAACGCCACGAACACGGAGCCCACGATCAGGAACGGCACGTAGATGGGCACTGCAGGGAGAAGAGAGGACACGTTAAAATATGGAAGTCATATTTTAAAGTACAATATAGTCTGTTTGTCAGCTCATAGAGTCCTGTTGTGAACCCGGAAATGTTGAGCACACCAAAGTTTCATGATGATTTCATAAGTTGCATTAATCAACATGCAGACTAAAGTGGCTTGGCCGATTTGGATGATCTCTGAGTGGTTTTGGTGGTTCACCATCCATTTCTGACATTTACAGGATCAAAAATGGCCGTTCTTATTTCTACCCCCGTTGGGCTGATGCATTTTGGGACGATTTCAAAGTTTAAACTAAAAACTGCCATTTTTGATCCTGAAATGATACGCCAAAAACCACAATTGTCCAAATTGGCCAAGTCATTTTTAAATCTATCTAAACTTCAAAGCACCACACACACTTGTCTTGCTTCCCTGCACAAGCAAAGCTCCTACATGTGAGAGCAGATTTGGTGAGACAGTGAAACAAAAGAGTGAGCAGAGAGGAGTGTTTGGACTCGGTCTTGCACAGGGACCGAGTCCCCAGGGTGTCCCGGGCTCTCGTTAGCAGTTATTAACTTTGTTTTGATCTGTTTTAATCCTGAGCACCCTGCTGTGTCCCCAGCCGCGACCCTGCAGACCTGTGTGTGTGTGTGTGTGTGTGTGTGTGTGTGTGTGTGTGTGTGTGTGTGTGTGTGTGTGTGTGTGTGTGTGTGTGTGTGTGTGTGTGTGTGTGTGTGTGTGTGTGTGTGTGTGTGTGTGTGTGTGTGTGTGTGTGTGTGTGTGGATGACATTCTTAAGCCCGGCTGCCAGCAAATATTTGTGACCCTCCTTTTTTTTCTCATTCTATTTCTGAGCGAACCTTTGAAGATAGGTTGAACTACAGTCCTTGGCTCCTGCTTGAAGAAAGGTATTAAGGCTGATTTAATGTAGCTGCATGGGAGCTCATTCAGACCTTTTTAAATCAAAGGGCTAAGCCAATTTCATCTCCCTGACTTTTTGTTTAAAATAGCAAATCAGACTGGGAAGACAGTCCTCACTCACCAATCAGTCTGCTTCGCTAGGTCAAATAGCTGAGGCATTACTTAACAGATACACATCTAGTTACATGTCTGTAATTGGCTAAGTGAGCCTGAGAAGCTCCACCTTGAAACATGATCAACAATAACTCTCCTTACGAAGAAATCACAGTTTTCCTTCTGCTTTCACCTCTTGGCTGCACTGTGAAGCGTTTTCCGGCCGAAACAGGGTGACGCCACTTTCCTTATTCCCATGCACACACCTTACAAACACAATAACGACCATGTTACAGTATAATTGATTAGTTTTGTTGTATTGTTCCCACAGGGTGTAGTTATTTTCCGCTCTGAATGTTCCATGTGTTATGAGGTGTAACTGTAAGCCGAAGAAAGAGAGGTGGCAACTGGCTCCGGTTTCCCTTTGTCTCTGTGAAATACATCCAGGCGGCCTTGAGAAACGTTTCCAAATGCTCATCAAAAGTAGCGGGGTATTAAAGGGATTACTGCGGGAAACCTGTGAAGAGCTCGGGGACATTCAAGGGCTCAGGCGGTAAGTCCAGGTGACAAAAGACACAGGCCAGCAGCACTCTGGGACATGAAACAAACCAGGACCTCAAGCTTTTTCCTTTTAACAAGGAGCACTGCTCACTTCAGAGGTTAATGCGCCTCACAGCTATAATAAACACGTCTTAACAGGAACTCTGTCATGGCTACATATGTTTAAATTAAAGAGGTGGTTCTCCCTTCCCTGTAGTGTGTTATATACAGTAGGGTTTAGTGCATGTAAATGGTCTGCAAAGGCTACAATCCCAGAGTTCCACATCAGAGCATCACTCTGCTATTGGGTAGCGCTCCAACACATTGTACGTTTTAAAGGGGCGGGACATCTCTAAGCGGTTGACCAATCACAACAGAGCTGGCCAGCTAACCAATCAGAGCAGACTGGGCTCTGGTTTCAGACAGAGGGTGAAAAGAGGTGCTGCAGCACAGGCAGTATGAGAACAATAAAGAGCTTTTTGAACATTAAAGCATGGAGACATGTAGAG